CTCTCTCTCTCTCTCTCTCTCCGCCATCCACGCAAGCCTGCGTCCTCTCGACTCGCACTGACCACCTCGTACATCCGCCAGAATCCACGCATCCACACATGTTGGCTCTCACAGGCACTCTTCTGCTATAGTGCCTTGCTGAGCCAACAAAGGCGCCATGCCTTTGCGGCAATACGCCAAACCCCGAACTCCTAGACGCTCGCCCAAGCAACATGACATTGACGCCTCTCGTCGATCCCATCATGCGGATCGTCGCTCTGCCACCCATCGCGCCTCGGCGCAATCACAGACCAGCGCACGCGCAAAACTCGGCGATCTCGTCGCCTCGTCCACCCACGAGCACATGATCAAGGCCGCTCGCCGCGTCATTGATCTGGTGGACAGCAGCGATTCCGACCCCGAGCCCAAGCCCGCCGTAACCACGCCGCCGCTTCCCACCGCCGCTGCTCAGTATGACGACGGTATCGTCACGCCAGAGCTACCTCCAGCGCGACCACAATCGTCTCCAACCACCCTGCAGCTACCGTCAGCGCGACTCTCCTCGATTGATCTGGTCGCAGAGATCAAGACCGAGGACGATTACGACAAAGTGAGCGTCCTGAGCCTCCCAGACTCGCCTGTAGAGGAACCACCAGATCCTCTGGCCAACCAGCGCCCGCTCTTCGATCCAGAAGAACTCCGCGTCCAGTACGACGAGCTCACAGCGCTGCTCGAAACAGAGCAACACTCGGGCACAGAAGACGACGACGAGGACTACGAAGTGCGTCGTCAACGCAAGCTCCGCGCCAACGAGGCTCTTCTCGCTCAGCTCGGCCTGTCAGCAGGCGTCAGCGTGAGCAAGATCGAAGGCGCATCCATCGATGACACTCAGCGTTCCGATGCGCACGACGGCAGCAACAACGATGTCCAGGCGGATGAAACCCCTTCTCGCAAACGCGGCCGTCCCAAGAAGCGCGTGCGCACAGAGAATCGGCCCGACGTCCATCAGCTTGAGGCTGCTCCCAGCAAAAGGAAGAAGTACGACCGCAAGGTCAAGTTCGCCGATGACGGAACCACCAAATCAGCGCCTCTTGCGGGCGAATCTTTCGTGCTTGCCTACATCGACACGCCCCCGCTCAGAGACCGAGCTCGAACCGAATTCGTCTTCATCCGAGACGTACCCGACATCCGCCCCGAAGACCTCGACCGCTGGAGCGAAGCAGACGAGGACGAGCAAGCAGGCGAGGACGAGCACGTGCAGCTCGCGTCCGATCCACTGGCCGGCGACGCGCAAGGCGACGTTTCGGCCATGGGCAGGAAGAAACGGCCGCCCCAACCGGACGTCCTGCCCGACGGCACCGAGCTGTCGTCCTGCCATCAGTGCCGGCGCAAGACGGCGGACGCCAAGATGCGATGTCACCGCATGCGCAACGGCGCGCAGTGCCCGCTCAACTTCTGTCGCCGATGTCTCACTGTGCGCTACAATCTCGAATTCGACCCAGCCGACACGTCGTTCCGCTGTCCCAAGTGCCAGGGCTACTGCAACTGCTCGATCTGCTTGCGCCGTTCCGGCTTTGGCAATCTGCTGGACAAGGGCAAAGACACGGTGCTCGCTTTTAGCAAGGAACTCAGAAAGCTCGTTAGCGAGACGGACCTCGAAAGCGTTCAGGGACGCATCGGGGCTCTTCTCGCCGAGGAACGTGCGGCTCTGGCGACCCCCGTGTCTGCGCGCAAGAAGAAAGTCAAGAAAGAGGCTTCGGATGTCGACCCGCTTGCGACCAAGTCGCCCGGACCGCGTGGTCGGCCCAGGAAGAGCCGTGCCCTCGACCATGAGGAGGACAAGGTCTTGCTCGAGCTGTCCAGTGAGGCGGAACCGGGCGAACTGTTGAGCCCGCTCGAGATTCACGCCTTAGGCGTGCTGGCGTTGGCTCGCCATGTGCTCAAGCTTGTAGCGGCGCAACGAGCCGCACGGCCGCGCCCGAGGCTGGTGGTGAAGCTGACCCACCGGAAACCAAAGCTTGCAGAGCCACTGGAAGCGAAGCCGAAGCTGGCGAAGCCGAAGCGGGTGTCCAACTATCACGACATTGAGAAGGACGTGTGGGTGCGCAGCGAAGCCGACTTCAGCCACTCGGAGTCCGAAGACGAGCTGGGCGACGACGAGGAGGAGGAGAAGGAAGCGACCGAGACCGCATTCGAAGAGGGCCGCATCCAAGCCTTTGCGTCTTCGCTCGTGGACCCGCCCATGACGAGTTCGGTGGCGAGCAGCCAGAGCTCACTCACAAGTCTGGAGGACCTGCGCAGTGCTTCGTCGGTGGCGTCGTCGCAGTCGGACGACGGAGGAATGTCGCCGTCGCAGTCGGATGCGGGCACAGCGCCCGCCTTGACGGCATTCTCGCAGTCGGTGTCAGAGACGGAACCGTCGGAGCCGCACGATATGCAGCAATTCGCGCTGGCGGTGCTGGACGACACGCGGTCGCCGGAGAAAGCGCGGCAGGAAGAAGCGGTGCCATCGCTCATCGTAGACGAGGCGCTGGGCGAGCTGGACGACTTACTCGAGCCCGAGCCGTCGCTGGCATCGGCGCCACTTTTAGCGGACCCGATCTTTGACGTGACGCCGATCTCGCTCGCTCCGAGCACTGGATGTTACGACCCGCCGGAGATGCACGCCATGGATCAAGCATGACAGGCGTCCAAGCTGTGCACATGTTGCACTTACGGACGCTGAGACCGTTGTACACTAGCCAACTTCATATCAGGGGGGCAACTTCATTATTGACTTGATTGGATTTCTCTTCTGCTCGGCTGACAAGGAAGAGAGAGAGGCAGCTGAAGCAATTTGGCGGTGGTACAGGGCGCGCGCATGTGTGCAGTGCGGATGCTTACTTGAAGCCGAGGAACGACTTGAGGGGTTCCCAGCCGAGGTTGAGCTGTGATGATGCGACGAAACAGAAATGGAAATGTGAGTATGAAGTGGATGCGGGACAGCGGGATTGCGGAGGAATTCGCGGACTTACGTTGTAGACACCGGCGCCGATGGTGACAGCGAGAGTGACGATGGCACCGATGGGACGACCGATGGCAGCCGAGTTTTCGGCCTGGATACCAATGTTGGCGTGAGCTACACGGGCGGCGAAGAGGGTGGTGTAGGCGGCGTGAACGAGCGAGGTGGGGGCGCCGTTGAGTTCAGCGAGGAAGATGAGGAAGAAGGCGAAGGGGGCCGACTCGGAGAAGTTGGCGTGGGCACGAACGGCGCGCTGGAGCTTGGCGACATCGGCGGGGTGATTGGTCTTCTTCTGGCCGGGGCCGTAGACCTTGTCCGAGTCGGTGGATCCGAGGTAGATGTTGGTGTTGAGTCGGTTGACGATGACGTTTGCCGAGAGGTACGAGTAGTAACCGGCGAAGAGCGCAGAGTGCGCGAGCGAGGCCTGACCATCCAAAACAACAAGGGAAACAGAGGATGCTGATAGTTAGCGCGGATGGATAGCTTAGATGGAGGGATTCGGACTTACGGGGCTCAAGACGAAGAGAGGCATGGTTGCGATTTGTGCGGAGAGGGCAAAGGGGGATTACGAAGATTCCAGGGGTGAGACGGATGGTGGTGCAGAGAGAGAGTTGCTGTGAAGCGACGACGAGGCTGATTCAACAGCATTCCTGCGACGTTTCTCGGCCAGAGAGAGCATCGCGCGAATCGACGGGGCTCAACCTCGGCTCAGGACAGAGAGGGCTATGATGCCATCCGCTGCTGTCCGCGCTCCAAATGGCAGCAAGAGAGAGTGGAGGTGGAAAAAATGCACGTGCCAGCTTGGTTCGACCCGCACGATAGATCGGGCAAGTCGAATCGCAAGGGCAAGGGCGACAGGCTGGCAAATCTGAATTTCCACAATTTCAGGAGGCGGCCGTGTAGAACGAATGTGAACGCTGCCAGAGCTGCGACAGAGCGCGGGTGCAGCGACACAGCAGCGACACGGCTTGGCGTTGCCGGCGTACGAGAGCAGCCGACTGCATGACGCTTCGGCAGAGGCAGCAGGCAGTCAGTTCACACATGCAAAAGGCTGTGCGTGGCGCGGCGCGGCGCTGTGCTTTAACTCGACTCAACCCACGCGCACGACCTCTGCAATTGTCACACCGCCGAATAGCGCTCAACGTCGTCGTCTGCTCTTCTCTCTTCCACCATCCCTCGATCTCATCTTGGCCTAAAGTCATACACACACACGCACAATGTCTGCCCAGAACGACAGCCGCTACGACCCCTACATCCCTTCGGGCAATGCCAGCTCCGACCCCTCGGGCGGCGGCGCCAACTTCTCCAACTCCAAGACCGCGCGCATCCACTCCGAGATCGACAACACCATCTCGATCATGCGCGACAACATCAACAAGGGTGAGGCCCCTCTTTCCACAGACACTACGAAGACGACGCCATCTAAGCGCATCCTACTGACGACCGATTCTTCCTGCATCCCAATCTGCACGCGCGAACAGTCAACGAACGTGGCGAGAACCTCAACAGCCTCCAGGACAAGACCGGTACGTCCTTGACGAGCCTGAGCCGCACGCAATCACGACCGCTGACCTCTTGACCTCCGATCCACTCTCCGACCCGGTACAGATAACCTCGCCGTCTCGGCACAGGGCTTCCGACGAGGCGCCAACCGCGTCCGCAAGCAGATGTGGTGGAAAGACATGAAGATGCGAAGTGAGTCTTGATTCTATGCACGCAACTTGCGTAATGCCTTTCTTGCAATACTTGCTCACCATTGCATTCCTGTCCTGTTCTCTGTCAACTTCTGCCTTCGTGCCTCGCAGTCATCATTGGTAGTAAGTACCAACGGCTCGAATGCGGCCAACTCGCCCTGGACGCACGCAGCTTGCTA